TCTCCATGTTGCCTGTTATCTTATGCTGTAAAAGGAAAGGCACTGGGGACAAAGAAAATCCTAGGGGGAAAGGAGGCAAAAAACTTTCTTGGCTAAACAGGGAAATCCATGGGAGCCTGTGGGCAAAAAAGAAGGCATATAGGCAGTAGAAGCAGGGGGAAGCTACCAAGGAAGAGTATGCCTACATGGCCTGCACTTGCAGGGAGGCAGTTAGAAAGGCCAAAGCAACTACAGAGCTGAGGCTGGCAACACAAATTAAAGAAAACAGAAAGTCTCTTTTTAGGTATGTAGGGAGTAAAAGGCAGGCGCAAGGCAGCATAGGACTCCTACTGAACAAGGAGGAGCAATTAGTGACAGAGAGGGGGGGTGAGGCTGAGCTATTAAATGCGTTTTTTGTCTTGGTGTTCCTGAACAGGGGTCAAGATAAGTCTCCTAATGGGTTCTTAGATGGGCATCACAGGGACACAAGCCCACTAACTGTTGATGCTGACTTGGTGCAGAGTCACTTAGATGGCCTGGATGTGTTCAGGTCAGTAGGCCCGGATGAGCTGCATCCGAGAGTACTGAAAGAATTGGCTGGTGTCATTGGAGAACCACTGGCATGGCTGTTTGAGCACTCGTGGCACTCTAGTCAGGTCCTGGGGGACTGGAAAAGGGCCAGTGTGGTCCCTATTTTCAAGAAGGGGAGGAAGGAGGAGCCGAGTAATTATAGGCCAGTCAGTCTCACCTCTATCCTTGGAAAGGTCTTTGAAAAGATAATGAAGGATCATATTTGTGGGAGTCCACAAATGATACTAAATTGTGGGGTGAAATGCACACTTGGGAGGGTAGGGAATGATTGCAGGCAGACCTGAACAGGTTAGAAAAGTGGACAGTACATAATAGGATGCAGTACAACAAGGACAAATGCAGAGTGCTGCACCTAGGGCGCAAAAATATCCAGCACACCTACTGGCTGGGAAGTTACCCTCTCAGCAGCACAGAAGCAGAAAGGGATCTCAGAGTCATAGTGGACTCCAAGATGAACATGAGTCATCAGTGTGATGAAATCATCAGCAGAGCTAACTGTACTTTATCATGCACCAGCAGATGCATGATGAATAGAACCAAGGAGGTGATACTTCCCCTCTATGCGGCATTGGTAAGACTGCAGTTGGAGTACTGTGTCCAGTTTTGGGCGCCATACTTCAAGAAGGATGTGGATAGCCTCAAGAAGGTCCAGAGGAGGGCCACTCATATGATTAGGGGCTTATAGGACAAGCCCTATGAGGAGAGACTAAGGGACCTGGACCTCTTCAGCCTCTGCAAGAGAAGGCTGAGATGTGATCTTGTGGCCACCTACAAATTCATTAGGGGGACACAGCAAGGGATCAGAGATGCTCTGTTCACCTCTTGGGGTAACAAGGAACAGGAAAAACTTCTTCATAGGGTGGCCAAAATTTGGAATGGGCTTCCAAGGGAGGTGGTGCTCTCCCCTACCTTGGGGGTCTTTAAGAGAAGGCTGGATAGGCATCTGGCTGGGGTCATCTGACCCCAGCACTCTTTCCTGCCTAGGCAGGGGGTCCGCCTCAACGATCTGTTGAGGTCCCTTCTGACCCTAGCATCTATGAATCTATGAACCCTTGGATGAAGGGGGTGGGCTAAGATAAACCCACCTGTTTGAGTCAGCTAAGGACATCAGCCAATGTACCTTTATGACACAGTTATTGAGTGGGGTAAATTGACTTCAGCTGCCTTATCTTGGAGTGCTGTTAGTTCACTGATGAGAGCAAATGAGCATCCCTATGCAGACAGTGGTGAAAAATAGACCTGACTGGTTGACTTGCAGGGAATCAATTTGGAGGGCCTGACCCAGATCCCAGCAGCCTAGGAAAAGGCCCCTAAATTGGACACAAGTGGTCAGTCCCTTAAAAGAGAAGTTGAGTTAATATTGAGGAAGTGGTAAGGGTGGAGTGTAGGGAAGGCAGAGCTCCACGAAGAAATTCCTCCAACAGGCCTGGACTTATCACCAAGTGGAACTAACTCACTAACTGAAAGTAGATCTAAGTCATGGCAGGAAAGAAAATAACATCTGAGAGCAGCTGTGGGATAGCATCACCCCCTCTCCATCCCAATGTCATTCACTGGGAAGATGCCAGACTGGAAGGGGCCTAGGCATTACAGCACTTACCCCAGACATATGTATGAATTGCACTCTTTGAAGATTATTTAAGGTAGTGAACAGTATGCAGCATGATTGGATCTGAAAACATGGTTGGGAACTAACATCCAGGTAGTATCATCATCGTAATTTTAAATTGTTGTTGTTCCTGTGCAGTTCTCCCAATGGCTGTGACTCCATTGGCATAAAAAAGGAAGGCAGCCTTTCATGCTTATACATATTGTATTTGCCTAAAAGATCCCCAAGGCAAGTGTGCGGGGGATACTGTGTCCTTTGTAACTCTGTTTTCCCTTGACCTCTCCCACATGATGGAAGAGGAGGTGCAATTGTTTTAAAAATATTTTAGGACAATCTCAGTTTCTTGACCATGACCTTCCAAAAAATATCTGTGTGCAAAAAGGTTGATTTAGGCTGTAAACTTATCCAAGTGTTTTGTGTGGGTTTTTTAAGGTAGTTGCACTAAATTAAATGTGCTGTCAGCAGTTTAATTTTCTTGTTCAGATTTATGATTGTTCCCTTTTTGAACTATGCTGTGATATTCTTTCTCCATTTGAATGCACAGGGAGCTAAAGTATTAGCTTATGGCAGCTTTCAGAGCTACCACTCACTAGCAGATCTGTTGTGTTTGTATAAAACACAATTGCTATGTCAACGTCCTTTTTAAGTAGTTCTGTTGTGAGTGTGAAATAAAAGACTGAAATAAGATTTTCTGCTGTGATATCTCTATTAAGAAGTTCTTCTTTGTGTAATACTTCATGGCAAAGTTGCTTCTATTTAAAGCATGGAGTTTGATCTTGGCTTTGATCTGAGGCTTTTGATCTTGAAAGAAGGATGTTGTGGCAATAAAGGAAAAAGGGTAGGACAGATTTTTTTTAAAAGAAAAGTGATAAAGTTAAAGGGATATTGTCAAGATTTAGTAGGCACTAATTTGACCTACCTTATTTACTTACATCTGTTTACAGAGTCCATCTAATTCTATAAAATACATACTTTGATGCTTGCTTTCTATTTGAGGCTTTGAAGGAATTGTTCTACATACAACAGAGTAAAAAGTATGTTTAAAAAGCTTTAAAATACCTTACCAGTAGGTGTGTAAATGTCCCATGTGATTACTTTACAAAGTTGTCCTTTTTGTACATATTATATATAACAATGTTCAAATATGGTACTAAATCCTAATTTATGGATTTTCAACATTCAGATTTTCTCTGGCATAAATTGCTTGATTTCACCTTTTCTGTATATCCAGTTTTAAGTCGCCAGTTCAAGCAAAGCATTTAAAAATGTACTTAAATCCCATACTTGTAGAACCTCACTTGGCAGCCCTTTTTATAGGAACACTTTGAGTCTATGAACTTCCAGCATAGTTACCAGAAATACAAAATAGTGGGTATAGGTGCCTGGACAAGTTGTTTGTAATAAAATTATAGTTTCTTGACCATTGTGCATGATTTTTGGTGCCATTGTATAAGGGGTATCTCCTATATCTGAACATTTTGCATATGTGAATATTTTGTATATATGCACAGGGGACAGTCCTATGATAGCCTACTGCCCTTGCATTTAGCAAGATTTGTCACGTGAGTATCTTTTGCTGAAACAACCTGTATAATTGGGAGAGCAAGAAGAGAAACTTTCAGGCTTCAGGTGCTTTGCACCAGTTTTGAGAAAGAAGCAGTCCCAGTCCAAGCTAGACCTGTTGCTGGAGCTGAATCTTATTTTTGTTAATGAATTTGAAAGGGAAGTAGTTATCACTTGCAGAGCAAAGGGAAGCTGTCAGAGGGAGAAGCCAGTGGTACAGAGCCACAAAACCAACACCTGGATTAAATAAGCAGACAAGGTTCTTTGGGTAAATGTGATATCTTTTACTAGACCAACTAAACAGTTGGAAACATTTGTTCTTTGCAAGTGCTCGGGCACCAACACCCTGCTTCAGGCACAGGGAGATTAAATACGTGCACTAGAGGGAGATGGTCCCCAGCACAGCTTTTTTGCTGAATTGGGGCCGAAGTGACACGTGCGCTGTGCTATGTAACCTGACTCCTAGACAGGGCAGGACTGCAAGCACATAGCTAACTCAGTTATTGCTTTTAAAATGCCCTTCAGAGTCTCCAGTGGAAATCACCTGACTGGATGAAGTCAGGGTAGATGTGAATCCCTTAAAAAAAAGTCAAGCTGTTTAACTGCTTCATAAACGGAGTCCTCCTCTCTTCCCGGAAACAACTCCCGGCTCCGCGAGAACCACCCTGCAAGATTGTGCACGTTCAAATGACTGGAAATGTCAGTCCGATGTAAATTAGATGCTGCGGGGAAGAAAACACCCTGGACATTGCTGTGGAGGGGAGCAGTGCAGGCTGTGTCTGATCCCCCTCCAGAGGCGGCCACGAGCTCCCGGGAAGCCCCCGACCCGCGCCCACAGAGCCGGGGCTGGCGGCGGGGGAAGCACCTCGGCTCGGCCCGGACCGAGGGGAGGGGAGGGCGCAGCCCAGCCTCTACATCTTTAAGGCAGGCTCCTCCTCCTCCTCCCCGCCGGGGCTGGCGGAGGCCGGAGCGCGGGGCACCCTGCTTAGGTGTTTCATTTCCGAAGCGGCTCCGCGGCGCGGCGTGGCCGGGGGAGCGGGCAGCG